AGAGTCTGGCCCCGTCCTCCTGACCCCCACCCTGCAGATATTTAGAGGCATTTCGAAGGTCCCCTCTCAGCCTTCTCTTCTCCAGGCTGAACAAGCCCAGCTCCCTCAGCCTCTCCTCATAGGAAATATGCTCCAGTCCTCTCCTCATCCTCGCAGCCCTCCGCTGGACTCTCTCCAGTAGCTCCTCATCCTTCTTGAACTGGGGAGCCCAGAACTGGACACAGCACTGCACATGGGGCCTCACTAGGGCAGTGTAGAGAGGAAGGAGAACCTCCCTCGACCTGCAACAAGCACCTTGGGACCGACCCACTCGCCTGAGCAGAGCGGTACTTCCGTACCCTCTTTTGGAATCACCATGGAACAGCAGCAACCCTGCAGCTTCTTCCTTAGAGTCTTCCCGAACCGCCCCTCCTGCACACCCCTGCTGACACTCCTGAAGCCATCCGTGATATTCTGCTTTCTTTTCTTTGGAGAGACATGTTGCCGTTCCAGTCCTTCCCAAGCATTTCATGCAGAGGGGTGAGGGGGTGGGGATATGTTCTCATTTTACTTCTCTGTCTTATCAAGAAAAAAACCCCAAACAAATCAGCTCACACTTCTAATTGATACAGAACTGTTCTGCGCCTCGAGTTTTTATTCTTTTTGCTGCCTCAGACCAAAGACCAGACGACATCCCTGTCCTCTGTGGAGGTCAAAGCCAAGACTTGTTGGGATGTTGGAGTGCAATTCATTGAACGTTTGCATCCAAACCACTGCTGCGTGTCCGAACCGTGAGACACCCGGGTCCGACGCCCAGGGAAGCATGGCCCGGTTCCTCTTCTCTGCCATGACGTGGCCAGCCGCCGTGTCCGCAAGCCCCCCGGCTCTCGGCCGCCCCACGGCTCTCAGCAGCCCCCCGTCCGCTGGCCGTCACCTCCTCGGCGCGGAGACGCCGTGCTCCCCGGCACGGCTCACAGCTCCCTACTCCGGCTGCATCAAGGCGGCTTTAAACACACCCACTGTTAAAGGAGTCCAACTCGGCGAGGTTGAACTGACGTGGGTTAGGAGGCAGTGACACAAGGAGTTCTGCTGGCAGGTCCACGGGGTCAGCCAAGACGGGGAAAGGGGAAGGAACGACACTGGGAAGCACTGGAAAAAATTCAGCAGCGCTGTCACCCACTCCAGCTGTACCAGAACAACGGCACGTCACAGAAACAGGACGCTCCCCACCAGATGAAGATCACCTAACAGCGAGCCTCCACCCTCTCCCCAGTCACCCCTTCCAGACAGGGGAGGTGGAACACAGAGGGAGCTGGTCAGCCCCAAGCTTTCGGGGTAAGAACACCCCACACGGCACCGAGCTGAGCCGCTTCCTTGACGCCAGCTGCGAGCCCGCAGCACCCCAAGGCGGCCCTGCGCCCCGGGAGCAGGGCCGTGGGGCACGCAGGGCACGCAGGGCGGAGGTGGCGGGGACCTACCTCCAAGGCTGCAGCTTTAATTAGCCTCATGGCACCAAGCAATTAACACGATAAGCTGCTGCAACTCCTACGACAGCCATGCATCTTCATCTTTTTCAAACCAGCTAACACAGCGTGAGCCCTTACCAAGGAACAAAAATGCCTTATTTTATAAACCCCATGGAGTTCAGTCATTAGAAGAAAATGCAAACTAACCGGTGAAGTAATTGCCTATTAAAACAAGATTACAAAAAAAAAAAAAATAGAGAGAGCAGTGCTGCAGAAATTCAGGAGCAGCCTGCACGCAGCACGAGGGGCAACCGAAGGGATAATCCCAGGAAACGCAGACTCAAACCAGTTGATTCGGTCTCTCCCAGCTCTGCAGTCTACGAATTCTCAGAAAACGCTCCACCATGCTTATTTTCAGTCTACCCATGAAAATGCAGTAATCCTCCCCTTTTTTCCTTCTGCCTGTGCAGGACCCAGGCTGCTACCGCAGGAGGAAAGGCTCCGACACGCCGGGGACACTGGACACCGCACGCCCGGCCTTCCCTGCTCTCCCAGCGAGGGGGTGGCAGAACTTCAACCCCTCACATTTGTCAGAAAGAGAACACACACAGCCTAAAAGTCCAGTCACCACGGAGGGGGAAAGGAAAGCACTAGCTGTGAGTAGTAGAATAGAATCTTCAACACTGCAAGAGATGAAACAGAAGAGGACACGGATAGTTGAGTGCAATATCATTTCCCACCACTGGAATTCTTTTGAGGTTCTTCCTTCGATGGCGAAGAGAAAGACGTGTTCTCACACAGCGTCGTGGGGGCGAAAGCAAGCTGAACTTGCTGCTGGCCTCAAACCACTGCAACTCGGAGCGACACCACAGACGGAGCTGCTTTCTCCAGCTGAGCTAGAGCCTGTGGAAGGTGTACAGTCACAGACAGCAGATTTTCCCTCTAATAGACACGGCACACAAACGCCTTCCAGCCTTTCTAACGCTTCCAGGCATCTAAAACTCAGCTAAGTGCTTATTAGCACAGCAGTACGGGCTCACGTGATGGGACGAGTGAGTCAGCAGGCCCCGACCGTGCCCGCTCCCCGGGGGCGGGCCACGAGGAAAGCTGTGCCGCGCGGGGCCGCGGGCGATTCCCCCGCACCCACAGAACACGATTCGAGCCGTCTTTGACCAAAGCCCGGCTTGCTGAGGCTGCGGGGCCTTCTTTCTTTGATTCGCTGGGGGGTTTCGGTGTTTAAAGCCTGACTCTTGCCTTTGTGGCATTAAAAGAGTCTTCACAGCAACGCCTGCAGTTATCAAAGCAAACGTTTGGCTGTGGTTTTTCCGCCGGGTCGCTGGCACAACAGAAAGTCGCCTAGCAGAAGAGGGTAAGGCCCTGGGACATGGACGTTCCAAGAAACGCCATCGGCAGCCCGGCTCCGAGCGAGGCATCCCCTCTGCCCGCCACCTCCCCGGCCCGAGACGTGTCACGGGTGGATCCCACCCCGCGCAGCAGCCTTCAAGTTCAAAACCTACACAATGGTTCGAAGTATTTCCACGTAAACTTTGAAGAAAGCACTTCCAATAAATACCTTTGTTGGTTCTCCCAGATTTTCTAAACGCAGCACGCGGGCTGCTGACAGCTTTCCATCTCTGCTTTTAACCTCCCCTTGCCCCCGGTCCTTAGGCTGCAGGCAAACATTCTTTCAACTAAACCAGAATTACCACGAGCTTCACCTCAGCCACGTCCCGTCAGCAGTGCATTAGTTCAGCAGCACATCACGCATGTTTACTGCATTTCAGTTCTTATTTTCTGTTCTGGCATGCAAGGCAGAGCTGCACAGAAGCCCCCGAGGAATCCTAGCATTCGGATAACCCCAACCAGATCCCATTGCTGCTGTTACTATGGTTTCGGTGAGTTTTCAAAAAGGCAGATATTTAGGCTAACGACAGATATTTAGGAAGAGAATCGATATTTTTTTTAGGAGGTGACAGGATTGATTTTTTCAGCACAATGAAATCGTAACTTTTGCAAGCCAAATGTAAAAAAAAAACAAAACAAAAAAAACAGTGTATCACTACTAAACTGGAGAGTACCCCAGCAAGGCGACAGCCTGCCCACAGACCGACTACACTCAGCTCCCGCATCCCTCACTTCTCCCCTTCCCTATCCCTGGCCTTTCCAAAGTTTCTGCCAGCTCTGAAGGAGAAGAGAACGATTTTTATTGACGTACGCTTCGCTTGAAACATCCGCTGATTTGAAATCCCGACTTTTGCAGATTCCTAGGACTGAGTATCAGCTTATTAATCAGTTTTTATTAGACAAGTCAACCCACGCGCACCAGCCCTCTCCTTGATGAAGAAATAACTGTTTTCTCCCGCAGGCACTCCCAGCTCGTTTAACGGCAGAGCTGTTAACCCGGCACGGCACGGCGCGTGGCGACACGCGTGGCAGCAAGCCCTGCCCCGGGAGATGCTGACGCTCCTGCCCACGCCTCGCACTGTGGAACCGATTCTCCCCGGGACCCTGCTCCGGGGAGCGAC